CCTTGCGGCTGGGATGCCAATCTCCCTTCCCACAGGTTCTGCTGCACCCACCCATAGCCGATGGCTGGCCTCCGAGGGGCTGCCATCTCCACATTGGAATGCACTTGGCACCCAGATTGGGGTGGGCATAAGGCCCTGTTTTAGCTTCCCACTAAGTGTATCGGGGGGTTGACATCTATGCCTCGCTCTGCCCTGAGATGCTGCAAGTGGTATGCCCAACTGCTGTGGCTTGAATGTTTTTGTCCCCTTCAAAATTCTTGTGTTGAAAGCTTAATCCCCAATGCAACAGTATGGGAGGTGATGCCTTTTGGGAGGTGCTTGGATCACTAGGGCTCTGCCCTCATGAATGGAATCTTGCCATTGCAAAAAGGGCTTGTGGGAATGGGTTCACTCTCTCTTGCCCTTCCATCTTCTGCCTCCTGGCACATGTGGATGAAGTAAGAAGTCCGCACCAGATGCCAGCACCTTGGATCATGGACTTCCCAGTCTTCAGGACTGTGAGAGAATCAATCTCTGTTCTGTATAAATGACCCTGTCTCAGGTATTCTGCTATGGCAGCACCCAACAAAGACACCAGCCCTCCACATGTGTCCACCTGGGCCCCCACCTCACTTGATGTGACCCAGCTACCTCCCTGGGTGAAGGGCAGCATCTGTAGTAGGATGGGGGCAGGGAGGGCAAACTGGGCAGGACCAAGGCACCAGGGGAGAAGAAGAGATGTCTGAGAAAACATCCTGGGAGTCAGCAGGAGGCAGGAGCACACATGCGTGAGACTCCACACTCCTGGCAGGCTCCATTGTCTCGTTACACTTCACTTACAGAGCACAAGTTCAAAGGTAAAATTCTGAAGAATTTCAAGAGAGCAATCGTAAAGCGTTAAACCCTAACCTTCTGAGTGCTTGTCGTGTGCAACTGCACTGGCCCTGCATGCCCATGGTGCAGGCCCTGCCTCTTCCCTCCTTCCCCTCCTTAACATCCTGCAGTGGCTCATATTCTTTTTCTTTTCCTTTTTTTTTTTTTTTCAAAAAAGAAATCCAACTGCTTTAACCTGGCTTTCACTTTTAGGCCTCCTAACATACTGTTCTCACTGCCTGAACATGCTTACTCCCTCCTCAAATGTCCCTTGGCCTAAGTCTTATTCATCGTTGAGATCTCGATTTCAACACCACTTTCTCCAGGAAACATTCTGCGACTCTTTTGTTTAAATGCCTCACTTATTTGGTCCCACAGCACAAAGGTCAAATGCAGAAGGAACTGCACATGGAAAGGCCAGCCACACGCATCACAAAAAGAGGACTGAAGTCAGCACACAACTTGAAAGCCGGACTACAGGCCTTTCTTCAAGAATGGCTGGAGCGACCCTGGGGACTCGGTAGGATATAGGTTGGAAGCTTTTGTGATTATGCTGTTATTAACACATACAGAGGTATAATTACCAATGGTCCACACTTCTGTTTACTTGCCACGTGAGCCCTCTAATTATCGTGGGATTTTATCTTCATTACCATGGCACATGCTAAATACTCAGTTCATATTTGCTGCTGAATCAATGAATAAAATAATTATATTTAATAGTTATATGCTCAGGTTATTGTAGCACCCTAAGAATGTAAATTATCCATTCTAATATCAGGGTTTCCTCAAGAAATAGAATTATTCTCTAAAACAGAGGATCTTTACTGGAGTTCCCCAGGGACTCCTAGGGAATCCGTGAATTGGTTTGGGGTGGAAGGACTACAAATCCCAAAGACTGAATACTAAATTTCATGGGTACATGTAGTTTGGGGAGGGAGATGATTAAAGTTTTCAGTATTTTTGAATGTATTTTAACTGGCCAAAGGTAATCCTTTTTTTTTTTTTTTAGACAGAGTCTCACCCTGACACCCAGGCTAGAGTGCAGTGGCATAATCTCTGCTCACTGGGTTCAAGCGATTCTTGTGTCTCAGCCTCCGGAGTAGCTAGAATTATAGGCACCTGCCACCACGTCTGGCTGACTTTTGTAATTTTAGTAGACATGGGGTTTTGCCATGTTGGCCAGGCTGGTCTTGAACTCTTGACTTCCAGTGATCTGCCTGCCTCGGCCTCCCACAGTGCTGAGATTACAGACCGCCACACCCAGTCAACAAATCCTTTTCTTTGTTTTTCTTTTTTAACTTTTGTTACAGGTCAAGGGGTACATGCGCAGGTTTGCTATATATGTAGATTGTGTGTCACTGGGGTTTGGTGTACAGATTATTTCATCACCCAAGTGATCAACGTAGTACCCAATAGGTAGTTTTTCAATCCTCACCCTTCTCCCACTCTCTGTCCTCAAGTAGGCCCAGTGTTTATCGTTTCCTTCTTTGGGTCGATGTGTACTCAGTGTTTAGCTCCCACTTACAAATAAGAACATTCAGTATTTGGTTTTCTGTTCTTGCATTGGTTTGCTTAGGATAATGGCCTCCAGCTGCATTCATGTTGCTGCAAAGAACATTCTCTCATGCTGTTTTATGGCTGTGTAGTATTCTATGGTGTATATGTACTACCTTTTCTTTATCCAGTCCACCACTGATGGGCCTCTAGGTTGATTCCGTGTCTTTGCTTTTGTGAACAGGGCTGTGATGAACATATGCATGGATGTGTCTTTACAGTAGAACAATTTCTATTCCTTAAGGCATATACCCAGTAATGAGACTGTAGGGTTGAATGGTAGTTCTAAGTTCTTTGAAAAATCACCAGACTGCTTTCCACAATAGCTGAACTAATTTACATTCCCACCAGCAGTGGATAAGTGTTCTCTTTACTCCACAACCTTGCCAGCATGTTATTTTTTTAGTTTAAAATTTTTTTGATAGTAGCCATTCTGACTCGTATGAGATGGCATCGCATTGTGGTTTTGATTTGCATTTCTCTCATGATTAGTGATGTCGAGCATTTTTTCATACACTTGTTGGCTGCATGTGTGTCTTCTTTGGAAAAGCTGTCTGTTCATATCCTTTAAAATAACAAATCTTCATTCTGAAACAGTAGTTTTTAAAGTGTTCTCCCAGAGGAATAGCATCAGTGTCAGTTGGAGACTTTATCAGAAATGCTAATTCTCTCCTACCTCAGACCTGCTAAATCAGAAACTCTGGGTGAAGGGCCCAACGATCTATGTGAAGTCTCCAGTCTTCTGTTGTACTTCCAAGTTTAAGGACCACTAAAGACTGAGAAATAGGCTGTTATGTTTCCAAATGTAGAATTAAGAAGTGGGGATAAAAAATAAAAGGCAGAGAGAGAGAGAAAAGAAAAGACAAAGCATAGCAAATAGAAAACAAAAATAAGGCAGTAGCAATAAGTCAAAATAATCAGTATTAAAAATACTTGTGAACATACTAAGATCACCAATCAAAAGACAGGGAGGCCTGGATTGATTAAAAGTGGCCCAAAGTAACACATTGTACCTGGTAAATAGATTCCATTTTTATTTGTGGATTAGACCTCAATAAAGCTGGTGGGGGAGAAAATTTACAGAAACAAAAACACAACCATGAGTAAGTCTAGAAAGGAAAACTTACATTTCCAAAGAGCTCCCGCTTCATCGTCATGCAGCTACCAGAGTTTTACAGACCTGCGAGGTCACGGGCTGGTCTAAGGTCATGAGCTGGTGGGGATCAGAGCAGGAGGAAGCCCTGGCTCCTTCCTCCGCTCTGCCCTAAGCAGGATCAGGTCTCTCTCCACTGTGAGGGTGCATGCAGCTTGGTCCAACCTGCGTGCTTGACTAACATCTCTTACCCTTTACTGCCCCCTAAAAGGAATTTTCGTTTTTATGTATGGGTATGTATGATCATCAAAGGCATTTGGTTTACTCTAGTAGGTTTTCATATGGCTTCAAACAGTAAGTCTTTTATTTTTTTCTTTCCTTTTCTTTTTCTTTATTTTTTTTAGTTTCAACTGCAAGAAGCAAGAGGATTGGGCAAAGGTCAAGAGGCCATTTGTCAAACAGCACGAGACAAGCAACAGGATGTGCAAAGTGAGATATGGCGGGGAGAGCCCCCACAGAGCCCAGGGGATGTGTGACATCATAATCACAGTCCTACGTCTTCCTTGGTCTCCCCAGCTAGCCTGGTTATCTCTGCAGATAGGAAGAGAGCTGCCAAGTAGGGCTGGAAAGAGACACTGGGCAGGTAGATCTTGCCGTAACAAGGAGAAGGAAGTCATAGATTTGACCTAAAAGCCGAGAAGGGAACATTCCCAAGAGACTTGGAGGTTCCATCTCTCAAGCGAGCTGAAATTAGCAGGAATTTCTCCTGCGGCTTCGCCGTGGTGTGGGGAAAAGAGAAGTGGTTTTGATGCAAGGGGCAGAGGGAGTGTTGGCGGTGGCGGGGGTAGCGGGGGCGGCAGCTCACTGACAGGTTAAAACCACCCCGGAGAGGCCCAGCTCTCTGAAGTTCAACATCAGAATATACATTCGAGTAAGGGTGGTCAATTATTTAATTTTTTGAGACTCTCTTTCCTTGTCTTTATACATGAGGACTAACAAAATTGTTAAGAAGATGACAGAAAACCACAGAGGAAAAAGCTGCAGTATAGTGGATACTCCATAAATATTAGTTCCCTTGGGTAGATTCGTCCCTTCTTTTTCCCAAGTGTAGAGCAACATGGATTAAAATTGATTTTGTGTTTCTAGATCTCCAGCAAATGTATTTAGAACTGTTCTATTAAATTTTCCTAGAAAATAAAGCATCTATTGCGTTGAGGCTATCTAGGTAATCTACTTCACAGCATCTAAGTCTAGAAATTCAGAAACGTCTGCATGTGCGTCTCTCTCTGTAATGTCCTGATTCTTTTTTTTTTTTTTTTTTTCTCATCCACTTTCCCATCAGTGGTTCAGATATTCTCTCTATATTTGTGTTTGCAAAGTTCTATTCCTGAACGGAATTTTCTCCCAGGAATTCCTGACCGAGGCCATCTGCTCTGCAGGCAGAAAGTAAAGCGACCACAGGCTGATGCAGCCAGGAAGGCAGAGGCCAAGAGGAGGGAGCGTGGCATCAGAACAGAGCCGGCCAGGGCTCTGGCTTCCTCCTCCAGGATCAAGGGAAATGTGGGAAGCATGGTGCAGAATCCGGGGCAGCTCATCGCCCTGCTCACTTGCTGGGGAACAGATAAAACGTGAGTGAGGGGGAGATTTTGTGGGCTGACACTCCCCGGAAATGCTGTGTGCACTTGGGCATGATGGTTGATACTCAGTACTTTGAAGCAAACACCATGAGACTACTCAGCATTGGGAGAAGCTGTCCATGTAGACGCCCAGGAAGCAGCCCAGAGGATAGGGTGCCCCAGCAATACTGCAGAAACCCAACTACTGATGAGAATGAGTAAAAGAATGCACAGATTGGACATGTAAATAAACAGGTTTAATACTCTGGCAGCTCTTGAAAACTAATCCCTTTTTCTGAGTCTTCTCAGAAACCTTCGTTCTCATGGTCACTCGGCAACATGCTGCAGAAAAGACTTGGCCTCGGGACAGCCATGCCTGGGTTCAATCCCAGTCCCGGCTCGTGGCAGCTGGGTGATGGGGCAAGTCATCTATCCTTCCTGGGCTTCAACCCTATCCGCAAAATGTAGGGGCTAAGGGAGGAAGGGGATGGGGTGGAGACCATTAGAATTAATGTATGAGACCAGGTGCAGTGGCTCACACCTGTAATCCCAGCACTTTGGGAGGCCAAGGCGGGCAGATCAGGAGGTCAGGAGATCAAGACCATCCTGGCTAACATCGCGAAAACCCATCTCTACTAAAAATACAAAAAATTAGCCAGGCATGGTGGCATGCGCCTGTAGTCCCAGCTACTTGGGAGGCTGAGGCAGGAGAATTGTTTGAACCCGGGAGGCCAAGGTTGCAGTGAGCCAAGATCATGCCACTGCACTCCAGCCTGTGCGACAGAGTGAGATTCCGTCTCAAAATAATAATAAATGTATAAAAAGTGAAGTCCCTGGTACCTGTTAAATGTTCAATAGGTGGTGGTTGTCATTGGGCAAAAAACGCGTTTTGCCCTCTCCCTTGTCCTCTCCCTCTGCATGGAATCAATAGCCAAGTCCTTCCTAACCTCCATTCTCTTTGTTCCTCTCCCTCCCTTCCCTATTTCCTATTAGGCCTTTCTCACCATCCTCACAGGCAACACAGCAATAGCAGCTGTGAGTCTCCTGTCTGCCCAAGAAAGTGCCCCCTCATCAGCAAGCCGGCTCTCCTCACACCAGCTGGCAGGGGCCTCTCCCACCCCTGCGCTCCAAGCACACATCGCTTCCACATTCCTGTGACACCTGCCACAGTCAGCCTGGCATTGCGGTGTCTGAGCACCTGTTGTTGCATCTGTGCTGAATCAGGCACTGTGAGAGGAAGGCCAGGCCCCGTGGACTTGGGTTCCCACTGGCACCTGGCAGGTTGCCCTGCATTGGGAAGTGCTCGTTCCAGCCTGAATGCGGACTTCAGGAAAGGGCAGCCCAACATATGCTGTTTTGGTATGCTGCTTTCTTTGCACTTAGGGCACTTGGAGAACAGCAAAGGCAGCAGGGAGCTCTCTCCGGTCCCTTTATCTGCCTAAAGGCAGAGCCTCCAAAAGAGCGTCACCCGGGGTTTCTCACTAACCAGGGAAGATTGAACATAAATCACAGGAGAGGTGTCTGGAGGCCACACTACGCCCAGACATAGACTTGTCACAGGCTGTGCCCTCTTCCTCCGAGGCCCTGTTCATCTTCCCCAGAATCATTTACTCTTTCCCAAGTTTCCTACATTCCCCCTCCACTCTCCCCGGTGAAGCAGGTATCTAAACTCCTAGATCTTGCTGGGCTTGGGGGTGCTCACTTTTCCTTCCTGTGATGCCCGTGTGCACATAACACATTTGTCTCTCTTTTCTCCTGTTAATCTGTCTGCTGTCTATTTATTTCACAGACTCAGATCTCCGACTCTCAAGGGTAGAGGGAAAGTTCTCCCTCTCCTACAAATGTAATGACAAAAACAGCATGTACTGAATGGGTTAACAAATGAATGAAAAATTTTTATCCTACCTAGTTCCTCCTATTAAGCCACCAAGAGGTGGGTGAATAAAGGCTACCTAAGCCCATTTCCTATGGGGCATATCCTCAAATAGCACATATCTATTGGTAAGTGTCCATGTCACCCTCTGAGCAGGACACCAAAACCACATTTTGTGATCTCTAGTTTTCTGGGATTTATAATATAAAAAGAAACCCGATGCCACATTCCAGGGCTATTACAAGTCAAATTCCAACGCTACAAACTAAAAGATCATAAAATACATCATAACAAAGATTACTTCCAATAAGAGAGTCTGGCTGGCTAAGGTTTTAAAATCTCTTGGTCTGTCAAATAGACACTTTGTTATAATTTGATTTCACTTGTGGCATTACTAGCAAACTTTGTAAATCCCAAGTATACTTTGGCAGGGGAGATGGATGGAATTGTTGGGAAAGCCGTAGGGTGGAAAACATTAACTAGAGCTTAAGAAAAAATGTACAAAGGAAATGAGGAAAGGATAGGCAAGATGGGGAATTCAGTGAGGTTTTGGTGGAATGGTGCTCGGTCCTGTGCCTGAGATCTTCTTCCTCTTGGTGTGCTGCAGAACATTGACAACCCCCAAGATAACAGGGAGATCTGCGAAATGTAGGAAGCAAGGCAGGTTACTGGGGGAAATATTTGTGGACTGCCTTCTTCTAAGGTTATTCCTATTTTAAAGGACTTGAAAAAATACTAAATATGGGTTAACATCACAAAAGAGTTTTCCTTTCCTCCCAATCTCTACTAATCTCAATCTCAATACCTACAATTGATTCCCTTCCTTCCAATCTCTAGTAATGATTGGCACAGAGTAGTTGCTCAATAAAATACTTTCGAACTGATTAAAGTTATATAAGATTACTTATAACTTCAGTGCTAATTCTTGCCACATGTATTTGTGTTTTACACATTTCAAAGTGAGATTAGTTTCACTTTCAAGATTGTGACACAAGGCAAAGGGCAGCTCTGTCTGACGTGATCATGTCAGGGGATCAGACAACCAGCTTTATGATGGATTTCCAACAGATCATTGTGAATCGCTTTCAGACACCCTGCCACACAGCTGCTGAAAAAGAAATATGAGCTGACAAAACATTCCTCACTTTACTTAAACAAGAAAAGGAAAGAGGCCACCATACACCAGGGCACAGGTGACAGACAATAAAATAGCAAAGGCCAGTTAATTATAGGGATTGGGTTTTTGCTGGGATGCAAATGGGAACGTGGTCACACCCAATAAACAGAGGCCTATGGTCTGGATTCTACAGGTAATTCTACAGAACAAATGATGAAAGGGATCATCGACAGTTAATCACTGTTGTGATTAAGAAAATGTAGATTTCCAGCCTGGGTAGCATAGACAGACCCTGTCTCTACAAAAAAAAAAAAAAAAAAAAAAAATTTTAGGTTAGCCAGGCACCATGATGTGTGCTTGTAGTCCCAGTACTTGGGAGGCTGAGGTAGGAGGATCGCGTGAACCCAGGAGTTGGAGGCTGCAGTGAGCAAAGATTGCAGCACAGGGCTCCAGCCTGGGGGATAGACTGAGACCGTGTCTCTAAGAAAACTAACTAAATAAAAGTAGATCCACTACAAAGACTTGCTTTCCGAAGCTCGGTTAAAGCTTTGGAGGCACACATACACAAATCCTATGACACTCCTAAAACGGCAGTGTGCCCTAGGTATGTTACTAGAATAGTTAGGGTAAAGATTTAGGTAGGAATATTTGCACAAATTAACTTCAGCTTCTGTTTAACCATATTCTTATAATTTTCATATTGCATACTTAGGCTGCACCATATTCATAAAACGTCAAGGATTCTTATTCAATACTTCACGAAGGGCACTATATCTGGCACAAGACTCTGCCCCATGGTGTTTTCACACAGCTGGAAACCGTGTTTCTTCAAAGTACTAGGCTCCATATTGCTGAGGCTTTTGAAGCCACCAGGGTTTTTGCCACAGGGGAGTCCCTGCTGAGCACCTGGGGATTCCCTGGGACAGTGAGAGCGCCAGGGAGCAGGAGGCAATTAGAACCGAACTCGGCGTAATAATCCCTCTTGAGGCCTTTGCTGTTTATTTTCTCACATTCCTCCTGCCGGCCACCTCATAGCTCACCTTCCCCCCAAGTCTCTGACACTCTTGACACAGAGCAGAACCAGCAGAACTGAATGGAAGGATGCAAATGAAACAGACTGGAGGGGTTTGGGAATGGGCCCTGGGCAAGGCTGAAAGGTGGGATGGCTGAGAAGGGATTTAACGACAGTCCCAAGAGCTCCAAATGGGGCAGGGGAGGTGGTGTCCACAGGGAAGGAAATGAGAGGAACAGGTTTACATTCCAAGAGGACTGGATCAAGGAACGGCTCCCATCCTCTGGAAGTTTTTGACAAAAGATGGGTGACAGGGCTTGGTAGTCATGCTACACTGAGAGGCAGCCTCAGTTGTCTGAGGACAATCTTGAAAGTGAAACTAATCTCACTTTGAAATGTATAAAACACAAATATATGTGGCAAGAATTAGCACAGAAGTTATAAGTAATCTTATATAACTTTAATCAGTTTGAAGGTATTTTATTGAGCAACTGCTCTGTGCCAATCATTACTAGAGATTGGAAGGAAGGGAATCAATAGTAGGTATTGAGATTGAGATCAGTAGAGATTGGGAGGAAAGGACATCCAAACACTCATTTGGAGATGGAAGGCATTTGATGTACCTTCTCCCTCCCTACACTGAATGTTCCTTACTGCCAGTCTCTCTCCACAGGGCTCACCTCCTGTTGCATTTCTGGCCCTTGATTCTTTTTTTTTTTTTTTTTTTTTTTTTTGAGACAAGGTTTTTGCTGTGTCACCCAGGCTAGAGTGCAGTGTCACGATCACAGCTCACTGCAGCCTCAAACTCCCGGGTTCAAGTGATCTTCCCATCTCAGCCTCCTGAGTAGCTGGGAGTAGCTGAGTAGCTACAGGTGCTTGCTCCCACACCTGGCTAATTTTTAAATTTTTAGTAGAGATGGAGTCTCACTATGTTGGCCAGGCTGATTTAAAACTCCTGGCCTCAAGCAATCCTGCCTCCTCAGCCTCCCAAAGTGCTGGGATTATAGGCATGAGCCACCATGCATAGCTGCAATACTGGCTCTATGAGAGACAAGGCAGAAGAAGACTGCCCTCTGAGAAAAAAAGCGAATAAAACACTTTAAATTTTTTTTAAAGTTTTTAATGCCTGTTGTTTTACCATTATAGCTTCATTTATTCCCACCTTTAAAAGTTCCTAAAGTTTAAATACCCATAGATCAGAGGCAGTGTCCATTAGTAAGAATAAATGGCAGTTGGTTGCCGTAGAAATATTTAGTTGAAATCATCTGATCACTTCAGATGCTCTAGCCTGGCCTTATGTTGTTCAGGGCCCCAGACTGGCTAGGCTGGGACTTAGATTTCACTGAGAGGAACTTTCCCTTCTGGCTGGCTTAGCTTCCAGAACATGAGCCTGGCTAGGGATTTATACTGCCCTAGATCCAAAAACAAAATTAAAGGACAACAAACATATCGGGAAAATATTTGCAATCTGTGACAGAGGCAAATCACCTTAATATAAAAATAGCTTTGACAAATCAATAAAAGATGAATACCACAGAGAAAACCAACAATAATAATTTAAAAATAAAGCCAACAGAAACATAAAGAGATAATTTGTAAGTGAGGAAATACAACATGATAAAATTGCAAACGAAAAAAACACTTCACATTCACAAGTAATTAAAGAAAAGCAAAATAAAGCAATCATGAGATCCTTTTTCACTTATCAAATTAGCAAACATTTTGTTTCCTTTTTTTTTAGTGATGAAATTCAGTATTGGCAGGAGTTCAGAAAATGAATCTCTTTTATACATTGGTAGGAGTGTAAACTGGCAAAGCCTTTCTGGAGGGACATTTGGAATATTTATTAGTGGCTCTTCAAAGCAGTATTTCTCATTACATGCACCACAGAGAATTGGTCAGGTAAGCTATGGTACATCCACATGGTACCATTAAAACGTTGCAGAAGAAAGATTCAGTGATGTTGAGAAAAGTAGATTACAAGATCATATATTCAATATGAGTATAGTTTTTGTTTTTGTTTTTTTAATGTATAGAAGGACGTGAAGAACCAGATTCTTAGTCATATAAAATTACTATTTGAAATTTACTTTGCTTCCATGAATGAACCTACTTAAAAATTTATTTATTTATTTATTGAGATGGAGTTTCACTCTTGTTGCCCAGGATGGAGTGCAATGGCGCGATCTTGGTTCACTGCAACCTCCATCTCCCAGGTTCAAGTGATTCTTCTGCCTCAGCCTCCGGAGTAGCTGGGATTACAGGTATGAGCCACCACACCTGGCTAATTTTGTATTTTTAGTAGAGACCGGATTTCTCCATGTTTGTCAGGCTGGTCTCGAACTCCCGACCTCAGATGATTCGCCTGCCTCGGCCTCCCAAAGTGCTAGGATTACAGGAGTGAGCCACTGTGCTGGCTTAAAAATTTAATAGGAAGAATTTCCCTAGTGGTAATTACTTTGTTCTATGAATTTTCTTTTCTTTTCTTTTCTTTTCTTTTCTTTTTTTTTTTTTGTTTTTTTTTTTTTTTTTTGAGGGAATCTCACTCTCTCACCAGGCTAGAGTGCAGTGGCATGACCTTGGCTCACTGCAACCTCCGCCTCCCAGGTTCAAGCGATTCTCTTGCCTCAGCCTCCCAAGTAACTGGGAACACAGGTGCGCACAACCACACCCAGCTAATTTTTGTATATTTGTAGTATACAAACAGTGTTTCACCATGTTGGCCAGGCTGGTCTCTGTCTCTTGACCTCGTGCTCCGCCCATGTCAGCCTCCCAAAGTGCTGGGATTACAGGCGTGAGTCACCGCGCCAGGCCCTATGAATACTTATTAAACTCCTCCTACAAGCCAGGCGCCACTCTAGGTGAAAGAGACAGAAGTGAATAAGGCAAACGTCTAGCTTTTATGTCCCTTTTCGTAGGGAACACAAGAATAAGTAAAACCAACAGAAATAAGAGGGTGACAGTTTCATGAAGAAAATACAGTAAGTTTACCGGGATAGAGATGGTAAGGAGGTCGGGGACAACATCAGGTACAATGATGGATCTGATGAAATGATATTTGAGTTGGGCCAGAGTGAGAAGGATTCCAGGCAGACGGGAGAACAGGGGCCAAAGCCCTGGGGTGGGAAGAGCATTGAAATACTTATGGAGCAGAAATAAGTTCAGTGTGGTGAGAGTCTGTGTGTGAAGACAGCAAGAGGGGAAGAAATGAAGTCAGAGTTCGGCAGGCCCCACATCACCTACACTCTTAAGTCAAGGGAAGGCAATGGGAAGCCACTGGAGGACTTACTAAAATTCGATAAAATGCATTCTTAAGGATACAACACAAAATCCAAACTTTCAGTAATAATTTATGGCTAAAAGTTAACTTCAGGTATATAATCTTCTTTTACAAAACAATTCTGTGGGACAGAGCTGCTACCGAGGCTCAGAGAAGTTGAGTGGCCTGACCACAGTCACACAGCTGACAGGTAGCAGGATTGGGACTAGAGCCTGAAGCTCCTGCACCTAGGGTGCAGGTCAGTTACTAGGAATGACTAGAAAAACCACACTGCCACGCTGAACGTAAGCCGACATGGCAGCTCAAATGCACACATTAGCATTAGCAAATGAGTGAGCCAATGGGGCCAGTGGGTTCTCCCATCACCACCTCCCCTGAGCATTGGCTTTGAAGATGGTAACCGAGAAACTCAGACTGGGTTGCCCCATGTTGTTGCACCAGGACAAGAGACTCTGAGATGCTGGTTGCAACATTTGGCGTCTGCTTCGGACGTCTGTAAGCCTTTTGAGAGATGAGCCTGGGTGTGTGGCGGCAGGCTGCCTTTTGAAAGAGCCACACGGTCCTGCCTCCCCAGACACCTTCCTGGAGGAGGATTGAGCATTATCCCAAAAAAGAAGGGTGGCCTTGAGCTATCCCATCAGGCCCCAGCAATACCCAGCGCCTCATCAGGATGGGTGCAAGTGTTTGTTTTCGACTTTAACCTTCTCTTTCACCCTTTGCTCTTTGTTTCCAGGGCAAAGCCAGTCAAGCTGAGCTGTCTCAGCAGAGCCTTTTCCGGTGGCTGCAGAAGCCGCCTCACAACAGCCACTGGCTGGTGCTTCTTCCTCTCTGTGTGGGATGTTGCCTCTTACTCCTCTCGCAGTCCACCTGGCTCTCCTTGGCTTGGGCAGCCATGGGCTGGGGCAGCATCGCATACCCTCAGTGGTCAGTTTTATCTCTCAGTTCCCAAAATGCTGCTCTTGGTTAGCTGGGCCTTTCCCAGTCTGGGCTTTGCAGCATGGACTTATATTTTCTCTGGACAATCCAACTGTTCTTCCACAGAGTCCTTCATACACATGGCTCTTTGAGATTTGAGTTTGACTCTTTTTTTTTTCCTAAAGATGGGGTTTCAATCTGTCACCCAGGCTGGAGTGCAGTGGCACGGTCATAGCTCGCTGCAGCCTCCAACTCATGGGTTCAAGCAATCCTCCCATTTCAACCTTCTGAGTAGCTGGGACTATAAGCAGGTGCCATCTCACCCAGCTAATTTAAAAACTTTTTTTTTTTTTTTTTTTTTTGTAGAATGAGGTTTTGCTTTGTTGCCCAAGCTGGTCTCAAACTCCTGGCCTCAAGCGAACTCCTGCCTCAGCCTCCCAAAGTACTGGGATTATAGGTGTGAACGACTGCAGCCAGCTTCCAGACTCCTTAAATAAGGAGGTAAGTTATGTGAGGTACCTGGAGTAGTCAAACGTGTCAAGACGGAAAGTTGAATGGTGGTTGTTAGGGGCTCAGGGGAAGGGGGAATGGGGAGTTGTTGTTTAATGGGTATAGAATTTCAGTTTTGCAAAGTGAAAAAAAGTTCTGGAGATCCATGGAACAATAAGGTGAATATACTTAGTGAACACTACTGAACTGGACACTTAAAAAATAGTTAAACCAACCTGGCCGGTGTGGTGAAACCCCATCTTTACTAAAAAGACAAAAAAATTTAGCCGGGCACAGTGGCTTACACCTGTAATCCCAGCTACTCAGGAGGCTGAAGTGGGAGAATCTCTTGAACCCAGGAGGCAGAGGTTGCAGTGAGCCGAGATTACACTACTGCACTCCAGCCTGGGTGACAGGGTAAGACCCTGTCTCAAAAAAAAAAAAAGAAAAAATTAAGAGGTTAAGATGACCAATTTTCTGTTATGTGTTTTTTTAAACTATGGTTTTGAAAAAAAGCAGATAAAGAGTAGGCCTGATCTGCCCACAGTTTGCTGCCCTCCTCTCTACCCACCTGCCCGCTTGAACACATGGAGCTCTCCTTCCCTGTGTGTAAGATTGTTCTTTGGTAATGAGACGCCTTACCTGCCACTTAATGTCGTCAGATAACTGAGAGTCCACTACCTTGAAGTCTCCATGAAGACACAGTCCATCTCCTCAACACACTCCACTGATGCCTCCAACCCCACTGACCTTGGAAACCCTTCCTGTCAAAGTCACAGATGACTTCCACTTTGCCAAATACAATGGTTGTTTTCTGGTCTTTCTCTCAACTTCTCTCTTGGACCCAGTTGACTTCCTTCTTGCAATATACTCTTGTTTTGGTTTCAGGACCACCTCAATGTCCTGGTTTCCGCCTAACTTAATAAACGTTTGGATCCCTCTGCTGGTTCCACCTCTTCTCAAATGACTAACTGTTGGTGTAGCCCAAGGCTCTATCCTTGGCCTGCTTCTCTTTTCCCTCAGCATTTTCTCTCTAGAGCATCTCATCTATCCCTGAGACTTACAGATAAGTCAACAAGATATTTCCCAGATCCGTGCTTTCAGCCTGGATCTTCCCACTGAGTTCTAAATTATGCCTCCAACTGTCTTCTTGACCTCTCCACTTGGATGTCTGTATCAACCCATTAAGAATTTTCAATTCATTGGGGCTATAAATATGAAATTGGTTCATGTTTTTCCATAAATGCCCTGATTATGCTAGTCTCAATACTCAAGAATCTTGGGATAGTTCAGTCCAATTCCATAATGTTATTGAAGATTATTATTATTATTGAGATTATTATTATTATTACTGTTATTATTATTATTGAGATGGAGTCTTGCTTAGCTGTCCAGGCTGGAGTGCAGTGGTGTGATCTCGACTCACTGCAACCACTGTCTCCCAGGTTCAAGCAATTCTCCTATCTCAGCCTCCCAAGTAGCTGGGATTATAGGCACCCGTCATCATGCCTAGCTAATTGTTGTATTTTAGTAGAGATGGGGTTTCACCATGTTGACCAGGCTGGTCTTGAACTCCTGACCTCAGGTAATCCACCCACCTTGGCCTCCCAAAGTGCTAGGATTATAAGTGTGAGCCACTGCACCCAGCCAATGTTGAGATTATTACAGTAGTCTCATTCTATATTTTAAAATCTCAGCACTATTTATACTTAAATATTATCTCAATGGTCAATTCTTTGTCTAGGACAGGAAATTGTCAAATAGGCCTAAAACACCTTGAAATATCAGAAAGCAAGGAATCGATCAAAAAATCTTAGGGCCATGCCAAAAGAATCCAGGAGCCAATATGAAGTCTCCCTTTGTCTACAGATGGAAATGTTTGAACAATAAAAATAACAACTGCTGTGGATTAAACACATTAAAATCCTTAAATGTTTAAGTTCACAATGAAACTTAGAAAACTCTCTCATTTGTCCTCTTTTAAGGATGACTAGGCAACCAACACATTATTTTGAAAACTTGTAAATAAAAGGAAAAAATAAATGTTTCCAGCATAAAATGAGCCCCAGGACAACTCAGTAAAGAGGGAAATTTATCTTTACAGAAGTATTTCAGCTAATAAAGGAAGAAGGATTAAATTGGAATATCACATTTTTTGGAACCTCTGTTGAAATCATTGTTCTTGGCAACAATCACCAATAATGGCTAAAAAGACAACTGTAGAAAAAGGCATAAGGGGAGAGCTTCACAATATTGGATTTATCAAGGATTTCCTCAGTATGATACCAAAAGAACAGTCAACAAAAGTAAAAATAGACAAATGGGACTACATCAAAATTAAAAGCTTCTGTGTATCAAAAGACAATCAACAGAATGAAAAAATAACCCACAGAATGGTAGAACATATTTGCAATTCATACAGGGGTTATAAGGGGTTAGGATACAGAATACATAAAGAATTCCTACAACTCAACAAAAATAAAAACAAAAAATTCAATTAAAAAAATGGGCAAAAGACTCAAATGGACATTTCTCTAAATATGATATACAAATGGCCAACAAGCATATGAAAGATGCTCAGCGTCATCATCACTGATCATTAGGAAAATGCAAATCAAAACCACAATAAAATATAACCTCACCCCTGGGAGGATGGCTAATCAAAAAACAAAAAATGTGTAGCAATTAAACAAAAATAAAACAAGTGTTGGAGCAGAGGCAGAGAAATCGGAACGCTTGCACGTTGTTGGTGGAATTGTAAAATGGTGCAGCTGCTGTGGAACACAGTTTGAAGCTTCCTCAAAATATGAGAAATAGAATGACCTTAGAATCCAGTCATTTGATTTCTAGGTATATACCCACAAGAATTGAATGATCTTGAAGCGATATTTGCACACCCATGTTTATAGCAGCGTTATAGTCAAAAGGTGTAAACGGCCAAAGACTGGGCAGATTGATGGATGAGTGGATAAACAAACCTGGTACACGCATACAATGGAGGCCCTGAAAGTGAAGGGAATTCTGACGCATGCTACGACATGAACCCTGAGAACACTATGATAGTGGAACAAACCAGTCACCAAAAGACAAATATTGTGTGATTCCACTTACATGAGGTACCTAGGGTAGTCCAATTCATAGAGACAGAAAGTAGAACGGTGATTGCCAGGCGCTGGAACGGGGGCAATGAGGAGCTTGTGTTTAATGAGTGCAGAGCTTTAGTTTTGCAAGATGGAAAGGTTCTGGAGAGGGATGGTGGTGACGGTTGCACAACAGTGCTACTGAACTGTACACTTAAAAATACTTACGGTTGCACATTTTAGGTATATAGTTTTATTTTATTCTATTTTTGGCCACAATAAAAAGAAAAAGAGAGAGAAATAACCTGTAACATAATCTTGCCAAAAAAAAAAGCAATTTAAATCTGATCAAGCCTCTCAATCTAACTACCAATTTATAGAAAATGTGGGACAGAGGAACATGTTACCAAGGTCACTTGGAAGCAATCAGCAAAACCCAGACTGTGGGAAACTCGACAGGAAAAACAGCCAAATTTCTTTAATAAATTGCAAGAAAATAAAGTAGAAGGCAGAAGAAACCACAGATTAAAGGATTCTTTTTTTTTTTTTTTTTGAGATGGAGTCTCGCTCTGTCGCCCAGGCTGGAGTGCAGTGGCGCGATCGTGGCTCACTGCAAGCTCCGCCTCCCAGGTTCACGCCATTCTCCTGCCTCAGCCTCCCAAGTCGCTGGGACTATAGGTGCCTGCCACCATGCCTGGCTCTTTTTTTGTATTTTTAGTAGAGACGGGATTTCACCATGTTAGCCAGGATGGTCTCGATCTCCTGACCTTGTGATCCGCCCACCTCGGCCTCCCAAAGTGCTGGAATTATAGGCGTGAGTCACGGTGCCTGGCCCACAGTTTCACTCTTGTTGCCTAGGCTGGAGTGCATTGGCACCATCTCAGCTCACTGCAACCTCTGCCTCCCGGGTTCAAGCAATTCTCCCGCTTCAGCCTTCCTAGTAGCTGGGATTACAGGCATGCATCACCACACCTGGTTAATTTTGTATTTTTAGTAGAGACGGGGTTTCTCCATGTTGGTCAGGCTGGTCTTGAACTCCCGACCTCAGGTGATCCACCTGCCTTGGCCTCCCAAAGTGCTGGGATTACAGGCGTGAGCTACCACGCCCAGCCAAGGACATCTACCATTAGATGCCATCTACCATTAGATACCAAGGTAGAGCAAGCCATTCTACCTTGTATCAAGGGTTATGATGTGATCGCTCAAGCCCAATCTGGCACTGGGAAAATGGCCACATTTTCCATATCAATTCTGCAGCAGATTGAATTAGATCTAAAAGCCACCCAGGCCTTGGTCCTCACACCCACTCGAGAATTGGCTCAGGAGACACAGAAGGTGGTCATGGCACTAGGAGACTACATGGGTGCCTCCTGTCACGCCTGTATCGGGGGCACCAACATTAGTGCTGAGGTGCAGAAACAGCAGATGGAAGCTCCCCATATCATCGTGGGTACCCCTGGCCATGTGTTTGATACGCTTAACC